CCCTCTCCGACAAAGCAGCACTCATTTAATTACATTTTGGAGGTTTTCGCTACGTTCTTCTCTCCTTCACATCGTCGTGCCACCTACATGCGATGTCAACTCGAGATCTACCCTGACTCACACACCTTTACGCGTCCACCCTTTCTTGCTGACCCTTGCGTCGTGTTGTGTGGATTTTGTCTACCCGTACCTCAGCAAAAAGAAAGGGATCAGGGAGATCGGGCTGACACCGTCCGGCCTCGCCGAGCTGGTGGGTCTCATCAGGGAGAGAAACATCTCGGGCCGCATCGCGAAGGAGCTGCTGCCAGAGCTGCTGGGAGGCGAGTGGGAAGGGGGCGTGGAGGAACTTGTGCAGGAGAGGGGGATGCAAGCCATCAATGATCCTGCTGAGATCGAGGTTTTCGTGCGGTGAGAGACGGAAGGCGTGTTTTTTTTTGGAGTATGTGTTGCTTTTGGCTCACCAGCAAAGCTGGGTTACAAGCACTTTTGGACGAATGGTCGAGGCATTTGTTAGGTAGTCATTGGTCCTGCCAGCATCAGCATCATATACGCGACAAAAGAAAGGCGTTTGTTTGGACTTTTGGTGCCTTTCTTTTCCGTCAGATCCTCTGTTGAAGCTGATCGCCAAGTGTTCAACGTGTTCAGGGGGCGCACATATCCTTGTGGATATACGGTCCCTGCTCCGTCATGGCACGAGAGCTACATACCATGCTTTGCCGGTTCCCCCGTGCATTTGTACGGGCATCCCGTGTGGTGTGGCTGTGAGGCGTCGAACTCAACCCCGCGTGGGCCTCGGGGCATGACTCGATTTCTGCAGCATATGACCTGTACGAACACCTTTCGCTTCCTCGACTTTTCGGTTTGCTTTTATCTGACAGTGATGTGATGGAGGCCAACGCGGACAAGGTGGAACAGTTCCGCTCGGGCAAGACCAAGCTGCAGGGTTTCTTCGTGGGACAGGCGGTAGCCTTGTCTGGGGGCAAGGCGGACCCCGAGCTCACAGGAGAGGTTGCGCGAAGATTGCTTGAGGACGTTGGGGTTGAGGATGGGGCGTCATGACCCCGTTGAAGTTGTTAGTATAGCATAGGCAGAATCAAACATACCTGTTGTTTGGGAAAAATTGGGCCACTGCGAAATATGAGATTGCGGTCTAAATGGTCCATATTCACTCTTCTGTTGAAGGGTGTATTAGCGGTTTCTTCGATGCAGATATAACACGTGGCCGGAAATTGGAGTGCCGATGTTCTTACGAGAGAGATTGTGGATGGAGATTCTGCATCATCAACCTGATGTCCTCTGGTTGGTGCTCGCCCGACCCTCCCAATGACCCGACGAGGTGTCTAATGATCGGCTCTTGGGACGCCTGGTGGTGTTTCTTTCCTCACTCCGTACTCCACTCCCCGTGCGCACGCCCGCAACCCCAGTTGATTGCCTTGGGCCAAACGTTGTCCAACCGCCCCAAACGAGACGGCGGTGTTGCAGTATCTCACTTGCTTGGAGGTGATTTGAGTCTTTCTTGAAGGCTTGAATGCCAACCAACGACTTCGACGAAGACCGAAAAGATGCAACCAATTTCAGGATTGTATTGGCAACAGTGGGGAGAGAGCTCATCACTCTTTCAGGAAGAAAACGGACGTCTTGTCGGATACCGTTGCGATAGGCAGGGGACCTCGTTCCCGTGGAAACTTGCTATTGTGACCTCGATTCTGGTCGTCAGTCTACACCTTTCGGTACACTGCAGTATGCAGGAATTCTCCACCTTCCTCCTAAGCGGTGCTTGCAGAGAACGGTTATTATGCTGGGCGTGGTCACGGTATTTGCGCTCTCACTCCTATAAAACTGTCACTCACTCTGGACAGATTCGGACGCACACAACGAGCCCGTGGTGTGTTCGAGGCTACGAATATTTGAAGCTCTGCCACTGCCATTGCTTTTGTGTGAGCGAACTCAGCCCGCAAAGGTGTCGTGCCCGTTTCTTTTTCTTGTCGGTTGGAATTCTTCCCCGGCAAACGCGTAAGGACATCGTAATGTTCTGCTCCCTTGGGCTCTTAGTCCTGTACGCGTCTGACCTTGCCAACGTGCATGAGCGCGTAGAGTGTAGAGAGAGGATAGTAATTACCCGTTTCCCCCCGAGAAGTTCGATGTACTTACTGCAGGACAGGAGAGTCGAATCAAGGGATACAAAAGCTTTCGCTCACGCTATGGATTCATTGCTAGTCTATCTTAGACGTATTTCTATAGATCTAGTCTAGAGGTGGATATGTTGTGTGATATGAAGAAAATAAACAGAAGACATTTGGATCGAATTAAGGACACGAAAGGCAAAGTTGTGTCGGTTCGGTGTGATGGGTGGCAAGTGGTGGCGCAAAATCTGTAATGTGCATGCAGATCAACGTGAGTGACAAGTACTTGTACGCAACAACACTGCTGGCTGTCTAAAATGGACTCGAGACCACACTTTCTCTTTCGGTATTGCTGTATGGTCTACACCTCAACAGACTAAATTATGGTGTGCCTACAGCAGTAGTAGCAGCAAATGCCCCAGCACCGAGGAACTTCCATCAACGCAATTGTAACAAGATATGCTTCCGGCGGCCCCTGCGCGGAGTGTGCCACCTCCAATTTCGCCTTCGGCATCCAGCTGGTATCGTTCCCAGGTATCCACACATCCACCCTGCTTGAGGGGATAGCGGGGACTGGACAAAAACGCGGCGCAATTGCCATATTGGGCCGCCTTTGCGTGCGCGCTCGCTGTCTCCGCTCTGCTGTGTACTTTAAATGTTTGCTGTCGGCACTTGGACACTTTCTTGGCAGCAGCTGTCTCCTCGCCGAAGCTCAAAGCTACGTCCCTTTTCTGAGGCACCAGCCGACGTGGACGCCGGAAAAGTTAGGGCTCTCCCATTGGTGTCATACCCCTGGCACCGCGGACGCTCGCTACCAAGTAGCACCACACATTGCCCATTTTCAGGTACTAGACTACTGGAGGTTCAACCGGCGAAGTGCCCAACGTTAGGTCAGCTTGACGTCGGCAGCGAGCATCAGTTCCTCGATCTACCGGAACCACCCCTCGAGTCAACAGTAGAGATAGTAGCAGGAATCGAGGCCACCATGCCCACCGCAGCGGACCGTGCAGCCTGAAGTGGTTTGGAGACGAGACTGTTCCAACTGGTGTCGAAGAAAGCGACCTCAGTGCAGTGGGCGGAATGGCTGCGGATCCCGCTAGAGCACGCTGTTGCTGAGGGCGACAAGGACCTTGCTTTGACCCTGCTGAAAGCCGGGGCGAGCGGTGGGTCAGGCTGGAAGGGTTGTGACGACCCCACTCTACTCCAGGTGGCAGCAGAGGGAGGAAACGAGGTGGTGGTACGCACTTTGCTTGACATCGCAGGCACGGAGGAATTGGACGCGGTCTCTGGCGACAAGGACAAGAGGACTGCACTCCACAGTGCAGCCGCTGGTGGGTACACGGATGCGGCGCGTATGCTGGAACTGGCAGGCGCCAAAGGTTGGTTTGATCGACGGCAAGGGGTCCACTGCCCTGCACTACGCCATCGAAGGGGGGCACCTGCAGCTCGCAGGAGACTTCGTGATCGCTGGAGCAGATCTCGAAGCCAAGGACGGCGATGGCAACACCCCCCTTCACTTCGCTGCTGCTCATGACAGCGACACGTTCATCGGTACACTACGCAGGGGAGTGTGTGTTTTGGTGGTCAGCAACAAAGGGGAGCACCCGCTCCACATCGCTGTCGATCATGATGACATGACCGTTAGGAAGGCTCTTTTGAAGGCCGGTACTGACCCAAACGTTCGTTACGGCAGTGACAAAATATTTTCACCGCTCAATCTGGCACGTGGCAATGCGGCGATGACCAGGACTCTGCTTGGTTCGGGTGCGGATGTGAAATCGGTGTGCGAGTTAGGCCACGCTTCTCTACATTGGGCTGCCGGCCATGGCGTACTGGAGGTCGTCGACGCGCTCGTTGAGGGCAGGGCCAAGGTCGAAGCGCGAAGTTTGGGTGTGGTGCTCTCTGAACAAGACCACGGGTTCCAGGGATTGGCGCCTCTTCACGTTGCTGCCTACTGGGAGAAGCTCGGCACTCTGCTCGCACTTCTACAGGACGGGACCAACGCCAACACTCCAGACACCGATGGGCGTGGGCCCCTTCACCTGGGTGTAGTCCACCCCACCTTTCCTATCGTCTTGCTACAAAAACCGCACGATTGCTTGAAATAGTGCTTCGTCCTCCAGTCCGACCAGTCGCAGTAGCACAGAATCAGCGGTGGTCACGTTTGCAGCGTCTTCGCCCTGGGAACGCACCATTGCAAGCGTACCCCGCCGACGGCACGCCCTGTCTGCCGGAGTCGCGCTTCCCGCTTCCATACACTGGGCACGCAGCATAACCACCGTACCCCGCCGACACCAGGCCCTGTCTGTCGGAGCGTTTGCCAATAGCCGTTGCAGCCGCTCGTTGGGCTCGGCACCGCTTTTCACGAGGTCTGCAGGGACGTTGCCATCGTTGTCGTTCGCCGTCTCGTCCGCGCCCCATCTCAGAAGGAGGTCGGCCACAGCAACCGAGCTCTAGTTGGGAAACTTGCACTGCAGGTTGCTGGTAACAGCCTGATGCTTGTAAACTTTCTAGAAGTTTCTTCTTGGTTGTCGGTGCTCCGTTCGCTGTGCTAGCGGACACCCTGGACGCGCGAAATGCTCGGTCGAGTTATCCCTGTCATGTCTTGCCCGAAACCAATTAGGCGTTTGTTGTGATCTCCTACGTGTGGGTCTATTTGGCTGTTGACTAGATTGCACTCGTCGAAGAAAACAACGGTTTCCTGCTTCTCGTTCCGATGTTCTTGCTGCAGGAAGCCCTCACACATACTCAAGAGTGTTAAGAAGGACATAATCGTTGCACTCTTCAATGACGTCGTGTACTGCAGTCGAGGTCATGTGTAAAGAGCGGCAGCATACAGTTCTTGGCGCTATGCATGCTGTTACAGAAATCGAAATGTTAGGTCATAGCCCTCGCGCCCATAGTCAATGTTTAGTAGCTTCGCATGGAGTGTAGTCGGTGTGGCATTTGTCGAGGGGTTTGTAGCGTAGGAACTACCGCGTAGTTCGTATCGTGGTCCTGCGATCGAACCCACTATTTTGTGATTTCCCTGTGTTGGAAGCGTTCGTCTGGGTCTATCTGCCATCCTTGTCATCCCGAGGATATTACCATCGTCCGGCCTGGGGTACAGTCCGTGTACCCTCTGTGTACCAGGCTGGGTCTTGTGTTGGCCGCAAGCGTCAAGGTTACGAAATCAAACACGTTTTTCTTCTGCGAGGTACCGCTGTTATTTGTGCGGCTAGAGGCACTAAGATATGAACGCGTGAAAGATTTCACGCTGCCCCCGAGCCACGAGTCCTCGAGCGCTCTGTTCCATGATATGTCTGTCCTACTTTCTAGGCTTGTATTGTACGATACACGTGTGGGATCTACGTGAACGGCCCACGTGAACTGAATTTTCTGTCTGTACGTTTCGGCTCATGATAAAGTTTGATCTCATGGAGCACTGTGTTCGTGAGTCTGCGAACATTGCTGTTGGATACATGTGCTGGATGATTTTGTGTCACGCAGACTGGTAAGATAACCGTTTGATAGGGGGCACCACGATGATTCACGGGGCCCCTCCTTGCTGTAGGAGCCGCCTTTGAGCACTCCCTCTTTCGTCCGTGTGAATGATGGTCGTCTACCTCCCGTGAAGTTAATACATCACCAAAACAGTCTCACCCGATAAATAAGTGGCGTAGGCCGCAAACAC